TTGTAGTGCGGTAGGAGATTGTCAACCAAGTTAATCAGGTTTGCAATTGGCTGATGTACTTTCAGGATGAAGAATCTCTCCTCGGAAGTTCGACTCAGAGCCTTAAGAAGCGTGTCCACGATGCTCTACCTGACGTCCGTGCAAATGCGCCAACTGCTAACGCTCTTTGAGGACCTGCAGCCATGCCTTGGAACCCGGGCATGCCACAGTAGTGTATTGCTGATGCAACTGAAGTAGCCTGTGCAGGAGGAGTATCGGGCTCGCTGTGCGGTGACTTGAATCAATGCCGACTTCTAGTTGAATTCTTTCAACTTGCATCATGCTGTGATGGCTGCAGGTCATCTTTTTCTTCAGAGTGGTCGACATGCAGAATGAGAAGGTATTTCGGTGTATCTTCGAAGATCCTGAGCAGCTGCTCAGCCTCCGGAAGAGTTTCCTGGATTAAGTGGCCCGCACTTCCTGAGCACTATATCAGACGTCACTTGACCTTAACAAGAATTGCAGGCCTTGGGTTTCTGGCCTCCTTCCCCTACGTGCAGCCAGACCATTGGACCGTCGCTGGCCTGCAGGTTGGCCCTGCGTAGAGGCTTACTTACAGGCTTGCACTCCATGGCGATAGACGGCTGATGTCCTGCTATTGTTGCATGTGCTGTGCTTTCGGCTTTCTCTGAAGACTCATGTGCCTGTTTCAAATCAGGCACGCTGTTTGGAGATGCATTGCATGCACTGCATGACTTTCCATCAAAGGTTGAGCTCGATCTCAGCCAGCACGACCAACGGAGGGCACTTCATTGCCTGTGGACACTTGCGGAGCACGAGAAGATAGAGCACTTGACGCACGTGGTGCGCAGGGGGTCTCTAAGGGTGCACCCAAAATTTGAATGTTGCACAGGATCCTAGTATCGGGCATCAAAGCATGTTTTCTCCCACAAGGTGTATACCACTGGCAGCGGTCACGTCATTCAGGGTAGCGACTTCTTGGTTCCTCGATCCTGGATGACGTGGGAGACTGTGCCAACTAGTGGAAAAATCAAGGCCCGGACAGTTTTGCCTCCCGCTCGCTAGATTTGTGGAACTTTCCAGCACTTCTAGACTTCTAGCGAAGTGATGCCCATGTCCGCATCTGTGTAGGGAGCATGGTCAGAAAGCCGTTTGGCCAGCATGTCGGATTCCCTGTGCGATCAGATAGAGACTTCGTGAGCATGACAAGCAGCGTGAGCTTGTGGACCCAAATCGACACCTCGGAAAGTGCTCATTTCGATGCTGCAAGCCAAGCCCCATTGATCAGGTGACCTACACTGGGGGCAAAGATACCCGCAATTGGGCTTACCGGAAAAAGCTCTACGATTGTTGGCTGCACCAAAGCCTTTTCCCTGCTCTGCGGTGGATTTATTCGAGAGAGGGTGCCTGCAGTGTTTCAAACTTTCGCCAAGGAGCAGTATGGCCTCTGGAAGTTGGACTGCAACAATTCCCAGGTCCAGTGGTGGGCCTCCTTGACGGAAGCGCCAGCCGAGGTGGTAAAGTTCCTGCAGCTGCTTGTCTGCTCCGAGGGAGCACCAAGTGAAGCAAGAACTGCTTGGCATCATCATCTGCTCCATGTTGGACTTGCCGAGGATGCTGGTCGGTCGGTTCAGCGACTTTGACCAAGCCTTCACGTTCATGGATGGTGGTGTGAAAGGGAATGGCGTCATTAATTTGAAGGAGCTGTATGAGCCGTGGCTGCAGACCAAGGTTTGCAGAAAGCACCGCTTCTGCAAGTACATGCCCATTCATTTTCATGCCTCACGAGCGCAGAGCTTCGATTAGCGCTAGTGGAAGCAAACACTTCTACGGATATGTTGTTGAACATTCATGAGGAACGCATGCGCCGCATGGGCATCAAGTCTTTGAAAGGTGCGACATGTGCTGTCAGCTATTGGAAGAGTCGCAGTTTGTGGTGTTCGACCTGGCAGGACCCTTTTGTCAGAAGGTCTTCCGCTTTCTAGATCCAAATGGAAGCGGGAGCATCTCACGAGAGGAGACGAACAGCCTTGAAACAGTCTCGCAGCATCTCTTTCCTGCAGAAGGAGTGGACTGAACTGGCCGACTTGTACAAGGAGGTCAGCATGAGACTCAACGAGTTCGCACTTTTCTTGGAGCGACGCTAAATATTGCATATGGATCACGCAGGCTGCACTCGTGTCCCATCCCCCTTGAAGATTAATAGTGTGAGGTCATGTTCATACAAGAGCAACCTTTTTGACCTATCTAACTTGATGATTGAGGACAGTTTCCATCATCGCGCGGAGTGCTTCGAAAGGTGTGGGATCTCCTCGCCGAACTTCTGCACTAAGCACCATTTGTTTTTCGGACCGGATCGCAGTACAAAAGCAACTCAGGATCCTGAAGGCGTGGGCAGTCTGTCCCGCAGCAAGTTCGAGAAAGCTGTGCGGAATCAGCTCGGGTTCTTGGGATCGACTCGTCGCTTGATTTGAAGTAGTCTCTGTAGATGCTGGGCTCTGCATCTTGCCATTCGTCGCGTTTTTTGAACATGCTTTGGAAGTGCACCTGCAAGCACTAGGGCGTTCTGTTGGGATGCATGTCATTAATTACTCCTCAGAGAGGTGTTGTCACCTTATAGAAGGCACATGTGCCACGATGTTTTCAAAGCCATTGCGACTGAGGTATCATTGTTGAATTCCTGGACCTTGACGATACGGCCTGGCCATCTCGTGGCGTTTCTTATGATCACACTCTGCCGTTGCTCGTGGAACGCCTGTGAATGTAGTACTGGAAGCATGCACTGCAGGACAGCATCGACTGGCAGGAAATGCTGCAGCTGTGCTCTGGCTGCACTAAGCACGAGAGGGTTCTGAAGCCTTTGGGGCACCGCAGCTATTGCTTTGCAATCTTGTGCAGGGAACGCTTCATGAGAGATGTGCGCCCACAAAGTGCCCGACTTGTCCAACCACCGACTCCTCCGAGTCTAAGTTGCACTGGGGTCACTAGCATTCTCACGTGTTTCAATGGGACGTTTGACCGAAGCACTTGCACTCAGGGATGGGTCTGCGTCTTCCAGGAAACCAATTTCGAGGAGGAAATCAGCGCTTGCCAGTTTGTGACACTTGCGGCCAAGAATCATCCCATCTTGCGCTTCAAAGCTGCCAGAACTTGCCCAGCTCACGACCCGGTGTTTTGCTTTGGAGGATTTATAGACTTACCCTCACAGCCCGCAGCAAAATTCACCATCGACAACACTTTCATATCCACCTCTTGGCACAAGACTTAGTTACTTAGTTGGCATCCGGTGCCTCTACTAGTTTGCACCATCCAAACAACTTGGACGGTATGACGGTCTCGCAAGCTCTCGTCCACACAGCAAAGCTGTTGTGGGTTTAGACATAATTTGCTTGCCATGCAACGATGCCACACAGAAGTGCAAGCATCTGACAGCATGCTCGTCAAAGAAGTCAAAACAATTTACGTCCTCTATGCGCCTGGCTGTTTGATGCAAATTAAGTTACGCTTGAACAAGTGTAGCCATGTAAGAAGCCAGGCCACTGCTCATTTCCATGTGGCGCACTCCAACTTCAACGACCATGCGTGGGCCTGAATGGTGCGAGCAAGCAGAGTGCGAGAAATGTGCAAGACAGTGTCAGGTCTCGGCATAACTTCTTTGCACTCAGGCCCAGACAGCGGCCGCGCCTGGGGCCAAGCTGCGAAGTTCCTTGGCACACCCAGCCAGCCAGCATAGGTGTCGACTGGTGCAGCTTAGTGCAGGCTCCAGGACGGTTTTGGGCACTTCGAGTTCTCTATTGGTATGAGGTCCCATGATCAACAGCGAAGAGCACTCGCAGATCCAATGCGCCATGATAGCATAGCCTGCTTGCACTCAAGCACTTGCTCTCTGGCGGTCTCCTGGTCATGTGGTCAGGCGGGACACCGAGCTGGAGCTTCAGAGGTGGAGGGCCAAAGCGCCAAGAGTCGATGTTTTTTGAGTTATCCCTGCAGTTCTTATAAAGGATCAATGCACTGCTTGCGCAGCCGCCAATACCACCGCCGGACGTACAGTCGCACCTGCTTCTTGGCTGTTTTGGATTGTCAACAGAGTCAGTGTAAAGGTGCGGTGCCTTGGCTCCTGGCAGCTTCTGACTGCTTGTTATGCCGCAATCTGAGGCATCAGGGATGTCGTTCAGTGCCTTCGCGGTCTCCGGCACATTGCCTGGTTGTGGAATGTCCCTTTGCCACCCTCCCTAGCCCTGGAACTGTAGCTGAGGTCCCTACATCCTATCGAGGCCAAGCTATGCAGCCTGTGGGCAGCAGGAACAGCATGCAGCTGAACATATGAGGGAAATGACCGCTGAACGGCGAACCACGGCAGTGCCTGGATTGCGCTGGCACTGCCAGCCTTTGCGGGTTGGCTGAATGTAACAAGCAGGCATGACCAGCCTTGCGATGATTATGACTAACTCGCAAAGGCTTCAGGGCTAAAACGACCAAATCAGCCGGAAGCGCGCCGGCCTCGCATCAGGTTAAAATGACCAGATGAACGCGCCAAAGGAGCAAACTTGGGACTGCTTGGATTTGCGTGTTCAAAGACTCGCTTCGATGATCGACGGCGAAGTGTAGTGAGCCTACTTCGTAGCTGCAACTACAAGTAGGCTGTCTGCAGGTAGATTGCTTGTCTCCCCGCAAGCGGTATTGGTTGCTGGGATTGTTACTGCCTTTGCAGAGCCATGCTGACGGGTACGTACTGCTGCTCAAGCTTGCGGACTTGGCACTACCACTCATCTCTTCGTAGGCGTGGCAAAGACACACCGCACTCAGAAACTTCTAGATGTTATCCGCACCCTCTCCTAAACATTGTTAGCCTAATTACATAGAGCTTGCAATCTGATGCCCAACAGCTGCTACGGTAGGCGAGGCAATGCGTAGAACTTCGTGTGCTTTGGCTTCGCTGTGGCTGCTTTTGCCTCAACTCGGATCATAGAGGTTGCCAGAAAGGATGTGCGAGCAGGATGCAAGTTGCAGATGACATCATTTGATCACCTGAGGTCTTCAGTATTTCCGTGCCGTCCCAAGTTTGGGAGAATTCCAGTCTCTCTGATGCTTCAGAACCATGCTCGTGTCGTGCTCATCAAGCATGTATGCTAGATTTCCACAGAGAGGACGAGAAGCGCAGAAGCATATTTTTCAGACATTACAACCAGATGCCTGCGCAAGACAGCTCCGCACTATTCACCCATTTTGCAAAGCCCACCCGCATGCGTGCTGCCTTTGTGGTAGCATGATATAGCTTCGAGTAGCTGAGCATTTTTCTGCGGCATCGCGCCATGGCGGCGGTAATGCCACTGTCTCAAGTACAACGTTGATGGCTCGCTATGTGTCTTGTCGCATGACTTGAGGCCGACAGATCCAGACGCGCTCTCAGTTAGACAGCAGAGCGTGGGTGCTGAGAGTGGCTCCGAAGTAGGTCCCAGCACAGCGTTGTGCAGGCTTCCCCCAGCCGCTTCCGTGACGCCTGTGATACAATACAGGAGGGTGCGGAGGCAGCACGGAGGCGTGAGTTTGAGCAACGGTTTCAGCATGCGTCAACATTCTGTGTACTAGAAGCTCGACGATTTGTCTTCAGCCAGGATTTTCAGCTGGGCCTCGGGCGTGCCGAGGCGGCTTCTTGGAAAGGCAGCCAGCTGCACAATCAGGGTAAGTTCAACAAGTGCTGCGCGTGCTGCGGTATCTTGGGATGCAGGATGCAGCCTGGCTACTTGTCTGCATGGCGGCTGCAACTCTGCACTTTTGCAACAGTCAGGCGGCAATGGTGACTTTTTCTTGCACTGATCGCATTGTCAGGCTGGTGGCTGACGCTGCAAAGTTTGCAGTGGCAGATCTTCCGTGCCTCGTCGTGTCTTAGGATGCAATGGTGTGTCCCTGAGATTGACAGACGAAAGGCCCGTGATGCTGGGCCGAACCGCCGATCTTTCGCGCGCTTTACTTCGTATTCGTCCCTCGCCTGCCTAAAGCTTGTAGACACACACTATGCTGCTATGCCGCGACGCTGTTATGCAGTCATTTGCCATGCTGAGGCTTACGTGAAGTTGTGCACGATCCGAAGAAGGCGGCTGCCAGTGCCACCCACAAAGCACTTGATCTGATGGGAGGCGCGGGAAGGACAGACATGCTAGAGCAGTTTCTCATGGGCTTGGCTACTGGGTGCCACTGCTGATGTGTTCAGCTGAAACCTTGGAAGCCACTCCGGGCGGATAGATTCAACCGAACGCCAGCCCCAGCTCTTGGATGCCGTTCATCTACTGCAGTGCTTGGATTGTCAGGTGGGTTTGTGAAGATGGCCCAGGCCCACGTATGTCTTTAAGCAGGGGTCAGTATTTGCATGACTCAAAATCCGTACATGACGAGGTGGTAGCACACAGCCCTGCGCTGTTCCCTGAGCCGCTGGCCCGCGCCTTAGCCACCATCGAAAACTTGCAGTTGTTCCCCTCAGCCGTTTTACTGTTCTTTGCCCTCAGAAATCTTGTCCAGAATGAAAGGCATGGATTAGGCAAGCGGCTTAATCGCCATCAGTTCTAACTGTATACTGTATACTTGAGCTCTTAACTAACACAGAGCAGAGCAACAGAATCAATGCAGCTGAAAGAATCGTTCGTATTACATGGTTACATGAGCAATAGTCACATTTTATTTGACATGCCCAGGTGCGTGCCTGCCACGGTGCCCTGGCGAGATTGGCACTTTGAGCGTGTCTGAATACCCCGACGGCACCGAGGCAGTCTGGCTCAGGCCTGTGCCTGAGGCGCTCAGCAGATGTCCGTCCTGGCCACTGCTTTCTCTGGGATTTAAGGCAGTTACACCGCCTGCTCCTCTGAAGGAAATTGAGCAGATTCTGAAGGAGGAAAGTCACGATAGAAACAAAGTGCTTCCAACACACGCAAATGCAGCTGCACATCTTATAGGAAGATGGAGTATGCATCAGCTAGCCCAGCTAAAGAAGATCCTGCCCCAAACAGTGGAGGACCTTGGCCTCAAGATCGGTGACCTCTTTGAACACTTTGACGCGCAGCCAATGGCAGCGGCATCCATTGCACAGGCACTTATGAACACGTAAGTGCTTGTGAAGCTGAACGGCTTGGTTACGTATCGGTGCAACAAACAGAAGACCATCAGCAAGTAAGACCTAAACCCTAAAGGCGACCAGAAGACGAAGTGCTGAAGCTGAAGAACTCACATTGTGTATTTTGTGTTTTCAGATGTTGGGTCAGGTGCATGCTGCCAAGCTGCGCTCCGGAGAGCGGTGTGCCGGAAGACTCAGAGAGTGGTGAGGGTGTAGGGTTTTTTGGTTCGTTTGCTCGTTCTCAAGGCCGAGGCGATCTGAAACATCAAATCTCTAGTTACTCTAGTTCTCTGAGCTGCGTGAGGTGGTCAAAGTGGTCCGCCCGCACGTCCGTGAGCGCTTGGCCGTGGACTTTGCGTGTGTGCAGCTGGCCGCGCGCCTTGCAGACTTGATCCTGGGAGAGGTGCGCTTTGGAACATGTTGTGAAAGTCGAAGTCTTCCAGCATCCACTGGAAAGGAGGTGGTTCTCCAGCTGGTGAGCGCCTCGCTCGAAGGATGTGTAGAGGAGCGGAGCGTGTGTTATGCCTTTCCTTTCCGGAAGAAACGCAGAATCGTAGGAGCTGCGAAGAGCTGTGATGGCCGAGTGTGACTTGGCCGTTGAGCGACAGAACATCGAGGCGCCGCTGGCTCGCTCGGCAAAGGCTGGTGATTGGTACCCCTGCAGGACTTTGGCCAGTGGTTGCAAACCTCTGCTGCCTGGCTGTCATCTAGTGAGGGCACGAGCGGCTTAGGGAAATCTTGCTAGTGACTAAACATTTTATACGACCGAGTGCTGACTCCGCGGTAAGTGCAGCTGGAATCTCCTCATGCATAGCCTCGTCCTCGTGTTCAATGCTCGGCCGTAAAGTAATGCAGAGGCTTGCATGGTTACTACACTCGTATCATTATATGTAGCTATTGATTGCTCACGGTTGCCTGTAATACGACTTGCTTTCATCATTAAGCCCAAGAAGTCTTGACACCCTGAAAACCGAAGGTGGAGCCTGTCAAACCCAACCATAACTTAAGCCAGGAGAGAGGGAACAGGCGGCCCTTCTAATTCTGGAGCCTTGCATAGAGAGAGCCAGTGCAAAGGTACTAGCAGCTGTAAAGCGCACAAAAGTTCACTTCATGCATGGCATGCACTGAATACATTCTCTGCGAGACGCCTAAAGCATCAACCGGCCTGCAGCAAATCCGCCTCTGTTGGCAAAACCAATTTGCATACAGAGTCGGAGCCTGGCATTTACACTTGAGATGCGGAGTTTGTGCAGATGCGCATGATTTCGCAAGGCCACACTCAGCAGATCTCGCCTGGCAAACGCTGTCCGCGTGCCGAAAACCTATGAAGACGCCTCCTCGGTTCCTTGGCTTCAGAAACAGCAGAGCTCCTGTCCAATCATGCGTTGAACACGGCAACCATGCCCATGGTTGGCTTTGCTCCTGAGTCTCGCATCTTGACCATGGAGCGAATTGATGGGATGCCCTTCTCCGAACTCTGCGGCGGTGAAGAAGCTAGTGCCGTTGGCTTGGGCTTTGACACAACATCATCTGCACAGAAAGCATGGAGTGAAGGTCCCCAGCGATTGGCAATCAGCGCTAACCTCTGCGCTGAGTGTCGCTGCTGTTTCAGTAATCGATGGGTCGGCCATCTTTCATGCATCTCGGCACCTGCTTGGACATGGAAACATGCATGATCTCGTCAGTCGGAGAGTTTCGGTGCCTCATGTCGTGTGCCAGGCAGATCTTCACACAGGCAACATGATCGCGATAAGAGGACCGAGCTTTGCAATTTGTAACCGAGAGAGCACAGTACAGAATAGCAAGGGATACTTTCTCACTACGACCCACTGACTCTGGCAGGGCCTGCAGGAGAATGCCAGGTAGCCGTGGCCTGAGAGGTGTCATCACTGATCGGCGCGAGTGCGAGTCGCATGAGTCGCATCAAAGTGAGGCTTTTATCGACTTTGGCTGCTGCGGTCGGCTCCCGGCACCTCTGCGCGGCACGTTGCTGATGCAGGCTTCAGCGACTCGGCGTGGAAGGCTATGCTTTTGAGATCCTGTGTCGCCAGCACCACATGTGGGGTGAGGCTGATTCAAAGCCTTTTCCCGTACGTGAGACGTTCCTCACTCTTAGGCATTCGCTGGCGCAAGGCCCCGATATGCAACTCTTGCTTGATGTTGTCTTGACAGGCTTGGCCCAAGGGAAAACGAATCACCGCCATGCTAGGCCAGATGTGCGCCAATTCTGCGAGGCGAGTTGAAACTAGTCTGAGACTGTGTCTTCGAGTCTTCGAGAGCTTCCCTGACATTGAGCAGGGCTTTGCTCATGCACTGCAGCGCATTCCCGAGCTTGGCCGCGAAGAGGCTGTTCGCGCACTTGTTCTGATCAGCTTCGCCTGCTATGGGAAGTCCTGCCTGTCGGTTTTGCAGGATCTGGATGTTGATGCCCTAGCTGACGAAGCTTGCCTGCTTTCTTGGGAATGGATCTGGCAAAAGTGCAAGAAGCCACAGAGGTATTCAGATTTTGTGCTCCGCGTCTATTGCATCCGCCGTGCCCATCAAGCTTGATCTTACAAGCCTGTGTTGTGTGCTTCCGCGATGTTTTCAGGAGCCTTCCGGAGTCAAGGAAGGGTGGGCGGAGCACGAGGGGAAGAGTTAGGGAAGAGAGGTGTGGGCAGGAAATCGCATCTGGGCTTTGTTCCCGGATCCAGAGCGCGCTCACCAGCTGAGATGCAAGACGGGCAAGATGCCAGTTTGGTCAAGGTGGTCAGCTATATCAGTCGCTGAGGACATGAAGCCAGTGCTGCAGCGCCTCCGGCTCCTAAACCCCTTCCAAGGAGATGTCACAGGGAACTCAGGTCTGCACTGCACAGATGTTATCTTCCTGCCGATGCCAGCGCAGGAAATGCTGACCCAATGAGCCCCGAACTCCACATGGAGCTTTTGCGTCTGCAGCGGGTCCTTTGCCGACACGGGGCATCCTGGATTGAACCGCGTAGCGATTGTTTCTGCACCGCAGCCATCAGATCTGCGTCTCCACTTTCTTGCTTGACCAGTGCTGAGGTACAACTTCCTCGCGAATTCGCCCTTCTGATGAAGAAGCATGTTGGCAAATTTGGCATCTAGCAATTTGAAGATGACCATGCTGGCCTTTCCATTGACATAGAGCCTAAGGACTGGCTGCTTTGGTGCTTTGTATTTCTCGCTCCTGGATGAAGCTCCGCTGCACTCATGTCCCAGAAGCCACTACCACCCATAGTGCCGTTGGTTGTGGAATCTCTTCACCGAGGATGCCCACAAGCGACAGCTCTTGTCGAAGCTATTGGTAGCCGGAGCATCCTTTGCTGCCTCTCATCCCAAGGACGCATGTTGGTCCTTCACCGAATCAGAGACTTGGAGAGTTTGCCCTCTGCAGGATGCCAGGCAGCTTCTAAATCCAGCAAAGCTGGCGGTGCTGCTGTCGGCACTTCGGAGACACGACAGGCTCGCAGCGAACGAACAAATGGAACAGAAAGCAAATCAAAGCACTTGTAGCACACGGCGGATCTCGTGCACGCTCCGCTGTCTGCTGGGCAGCACGATGGCTTGAGCCGCACTCTTGAGCTATCAACGACAAAGTGTGAACATTTGTATCTGTACCTGTGGCCACCGGTAGATGTTCTCCGGATATGGAGGGAGCTTGTTCGAAAGTTGGTAAGGCAGGGATGGGCAAAAGGTGAGCAGAGCCGGTAGCGAGCTGGTCAAAGCGGTGGGTTTTGGAAAGTCATCCGGGGCTTGCCCAGCTTTGCTACAGGTGTGAGAGTGGTGTGAGACAATATGAGACATTCTGTTTGTCAAGAAACAGGTTGTGAACGCCGTCACAGGTCTTTTGCAGCTTGCAGCGTCACACCTGCCATCATGGTGGCCAGTTGTCCACTGCTCAGAGTGTTTCTCTCATGTACGCAGCGTAGGCGTAGACTCAAGCAAGCCATCTCAGGCCTTGTGGTCACTGCAGCACTGGTGGCACGGCATCTACAGCCACTTAGCAGTCATGTCGGCTTGCATTGCACTTCATGGAAATCTCAGATATTACTAAGGTAAATGCCGCAACTGAGCCGCCGAGCAAGTCTCGAAAATCATGAAGCATGCTTGTTGTAAGCCGATTTGCGCGGAATCATTAAGCCATGCAGCCAGTGTTGATGGAATTGGAACAAAGCAAGGTCTGAAGTTTGTTAGTGGTCATAAGTCTCAGAGAAGGGGCACGACGGTCCTGTCAGCTGGCGTGAGAGGCAGCTTACAATGTTCGTATAGCGTTTGACATCACGACGACCATTGCTCTGCGGCCAGATCTGAATCACTGCATGCTCGCTTGGATAACGTAGGAAGAGAAGGTTCACCGTTTTGCTGCTTTGGGCGGTGAGACCCCAGCAGCACCGTGTAGAGACATTGAGGGACAGCTGCATACCGGCAAGCTTCGCGATCGCAAACAGTGGAAGCTTGCTGTGACATACTGGAGCCAGCTTCATTTTTTCCAAGAAGCTGCGCCAAAAAGCTCTCTGGCCAAGGCCGCTGCAGTCCGAAGAATCTCAGGAAGCGACAGGGGCAGAGGCAGGTTTTTACCTGCGGCTGCAGATCCAGAAGTCTGCAATGTGAGCCAGTCCTTCGAAAACATGGTGTCCGTCAGTCAGGTCAATGAAACCTCGCCTAGCTGCACAAGGACAGGGTAGAGATGGCGTGAGATTTGGCCACGCCATTTGCTTGAAGGTCAGATGGGAGCGTGCCAGCTGTCCATGCGGCCTTCTACCTTTGGCCAGGGACCAAGAACAAGGACTGGACTGGAAGCAGCATAAACGCAGCAAAGTTCCCAGGTACGGCACTCCGCAAGCCAGGTGCTGAGTTATGGAAGTGTGATTATTGTGACCTCTCAAGCAAGTTGAAGGACGCTTAGCCGCTTAGCCAGCCTTGTAGTAGTTTGTGTGGGGTTTGCAGTCATGCTGAAAGAGCAGGGCTTGTGTCGAATCAGGTGGATGGCAAGTGGCTGCACTGGGACCACAAGGCTCAAGTTGAACGAAGGAATGATGCCCAAGATGTGTCAGCCCAGCCAGGTGCTTCCTCACTGGGACAAGGAGGTGCTGATCAGAATGTTCTTGTTAAAGTCACGGGAAGGTTGCTGGCGCTGATCATGGAAAGGTGGATGCAAAATATGATAAATTCAACTGGAGTCCACCAGACGAGTCCGACACTCGCTGCTAGACAGTCCAATGATCAGCCTGAAGTGCAGCAGAATGTGCCCATAGCAATGATGCATGGAAGTACATGGTTGTCATGATGTGCTCAAGGCCGCATGCCACCTACTACCCTCAGAGAGGACCATATAGGCCAGCATTGACAAACCATAGCCAAAAGCTGTGTCCAATTCAGCTTCCTGCATTGTGACCAGCTCGCGCGACGAATTGACGCTGTCGAGCCAGTTCGAGGACCTTTGGAAGGCACGGGGCGGCACTTGATTTCTGTTTTCGCTCGTTGGTGCTGCTCAGAGGCAGGTGTTGACTCCGCAATGTGCTCATGGTGGGGACGCAAGGCTCGGTTGTGCACAGCATGGGGCTTCCCGAGCTAAACTGACATCTCAGGATTGGACAGGAAAGCGTGATGATGCAGACTCAGGCAAGGAGATCTCCTCAATTTTGCAGGTCCGAGCTTCATAGATTGTTGTCTTGCTCAACAGTTCTGACCATGCGTTTTGCCGCCCTTCTCCTCCTCCTCGCTTATCTTCCTGTCTGTGCATGTTTCAAAGTTTCACGCCCCAAAATCAAAACAGAAAACTGCCCGAAGTAGCTTGAAAAGCAGTATGACGAGGCACAACAAGCTACCACACCAGAGCTCTTTAATCTACTCGGCTGTCATCCAGCACGTGTGATGATACATTCAAACAGCTTCCGTTGCGTTGATCAACCTGCACCAGAACAGGTGCTAACACGGACGAACTGATCCCATCGGTGCTGGAGGCCAGCTGCTGCTGTCACATGGCCTTGGCAGATACCCGTTGAAACTGGTTTGTGTAGACACCTGCTGTTTGCTTCAATTGCGTTGATGCTCCCTGAAAGATGTTAATTTTTGAATGCGCTCGCGCGCGTTCGCTTTGGCTCTTGGGCACGAGGCTCATGGCCAGTAGCCCGGACTCCAGGATGCGATTGTTGCACTGGAGCAAAGGTGCTGGGCCAGCGGCAGGGTAGGGCACATCGGCGACTAGAGTGGAGCGAAGGGCTAGAGTGGAGGGAGGGGCTGCAGAGGGTGGAGAGGGTGGCAGGTGAGTGGGAAGCCAGGTGAGCCTTGCCATGGCCAGGAACTGTGGCTGTGTTTTTATGCTTTACGCCAATGCTAAAAAACAATGCAGCCAGGCAAAAAAGCTGGTGGCTGGAACTGGCCACCTCTGCTGCCATGCTAGTTCCTGGCTGCGGAACCGGGACACTGCAAATACAAACAGATACTTCAAGGTTTCAGAAACTGGCTGTGAACTATCAGGAAACAGTTTGAGTCGCAGGAAACCCAAGTTCTAGAGAGGCCTGTGTTTCGGTCAGGGTGCCGGGGGCGCAGTCTCATCAAAACTCTTCATGTATGGAGCCTTGGCAACAGTAAGCTTGTCTAGGACTAATACCCGCTGCACTTCTGTAAGTGCTTGAACAAGAAGCTTTGCACAGCAACATATCTAGAAGCCCGAAGACTCTACCATAGGAGCGTTCATCTTAAGGTGTGACCGCCAAGCCATATCAGGATGAGCCTAGGGATTTAGATTTGTAGGACCTTAGAATGCATGGCTAAAGAAATGGTGTCTGTGTGTTTTCGGGGTGAAGGCAAAAAAGTTGGCAGGCACGACCCTAGAGGAATGGCTGGGTGGCAGAATGATGGGGACAGGGGAGGCCATGCTATCTCTCCACCCTGGTTGTTAATTAGTTTGAGAAGCATATCGCGTCTTGTGGACAAATTCACTGATTCTAGTGTAGTGTGGGCAGCCTGCTCCAATGGGTGGCGTCAACTCACGGCTTGTTCTGGGTGTGGATGCTATAGTGAGACGTGAAGCCTTGGCCGAGACCCAAGGGAATACGACCAAAGCACAAACAGTAACATCCGATGAGGATTATGATGAAATTGATGGTGATGATGATGATGATGATGACATTTGACCCATTTGCTTTCAAAGTTCCGCGAAGATGGCCATACAGACCCCTGAGGAAGGCGATGGAAGGCGTCTTGTTTGCAGGGATCATCCCAAGGCCCAACTGGCTGCTGGTCGGAAGGAAGGGAAAAATCAACCATGTCCTTGAAACTTGAACAGGAAGCAGTATGCTCTCTTGAAAGTCGTCATAGGAAGCATCTGACTCCAGAAAAATGGTACACAAGATTCGTTGTTGGCGCATTGGGGGTCCTGCATTGGGCAGCTTGAAACCACTCAGCGACGTTTCTCCACCACTCGAGGTGGCCTGAAAACCAATCTTCCAACGACTCGGAGCAGCCTTGAAACCACTTGGGGACGGTTTTCAACCACTCGGAGCGACCTTGAAACTGCTCGAAAACAATTTCTAAGTGGTCAAGACTACTCCACTGGCCTTGAAACCACTTGAAGATTAGGCGTCGGATGGGTCTAAGCTTTGGGGGTTGGGCCTGCAGACCTTTCGCGAAGGGTGGGCTAAAGGGTGAAAATCCATGTGTAGGCAAAGGGCAGGAGGCCAATCCTGCCAGCTGCCAATCCACCATGTCTGCCATGACCGGCTGTTGAGATAAGATCCATGTCGCGTGAATTCGCAGCATAGCACATTCATGACCAATGGGCTTTGTCTCCATTCCACTTTGCTGAACATACTCCTTGACCTTTCGCTGAATCACCATGAGTTGGCCACGGTCCGTCCAAGCACCGTGATAGCAGGCTGCGCAGAAAGCCGGCGTTTTCGTGCAGCGGACTCAGCTGGTGTTTGGAAGCTTATGGTTTGTCATGTGCATCAATTCATGCTTTGCACAGATCTTTCCACATTGAGCCATATGGGGGCCGTTCGCCACAGACGTATTTGCCTTGGCCTTCGCACGATGCGAATTCACATAGCAGGCTTGGGCCGACATTTGCCCAGTGCAGGTTTTTGGACGATCTCACCTACATCGTTCGGGAGTACGGCAGCCACCCGGCCATTTGGCGGGAGGCGAACAAAAATGATTCAATGGATACTCCCTGAAGCTCGAATTCGGTGAAGCATTTTTCAGAATTGCTCGTCAGGGTCCCAAGAAGTTGCCGCTCTTCTGGCTCTACGATGCCTGCACCTTGGTCATGCCTCGCTCTGCCCATCGCTGCCTGAGCTTGTAAAGTTTTCAGGTCTCGGCTCAGCATTCGATGCAGGATGCAGTGGCCTGGAAGGAGGCTGGCTCCTTTTCTAGTTTGGCAAGAGTCCAAGCTTGGCTGGGTCAGGTGCTCGACTCTGTGCGAGGAACAGAGTTGGACGGCGTTTTCCTGTGCTGAGCTCTGACTTGCCCTTGCCACTGTGCCTTCTGTTGACTTCTGCAGGGACTGAGTTTCAGGGAGCTCCGGCCCAGACTCAGTCTCGGCTGGAGTCGAGTCTCAAGAGCGCTTGGGACTGGCAAGGTTGCGAGAGCCCCCCAATAATCTGATGCCAATTAAACTGCAAGGTGCGAACACTTCTGCACATGCGGGAAGGGCTGCAAGTTTGGAAGGGCTGAGCCCATGCATGCCACCTTAAACGCAATCAGTCCAGCAACTGAATGCATGGAGCTTCAGTGTTTTGTCCTGCTGCTCCATGAGCAACTGAATCCCGCTATGTTTTGATCATTGACGCAGCCTTTCCTTGCCTGATGCCTGATGGCCTGCCGCATGTGCGCGGTCCCTGGGACCGCTGGAGACATAAACAACACAAGAAGAACTTGCGAGGGAGACTCACAACCAGATGCCAGATCAGCAGGCTCCCCGATTTTTTGAGGTAGAGTCTTGCTGACAGATCCCATATCAAGTGCTCCTCATGCGGCTGCTTCAACGGCAGTGGCTCCAAGCACCTTCTGAGGGCCTTTGGCATATGCGCCGACGGTCAGCTGGCCGTGGTGGCCTGCGGCCAACAAGTGCCTTCGCCCCAGCTCCGTTGATGTCGACAAGTGTTGTGAACGTTCTTGCCGTCCTCTCGAGGACGCAAATTTGTCATAGCACTGGGCAGAGGTGTTGGTAAGGGGGTGGGCTGAACGTGGGGCAGTGGCCCAATGAGCGTGTGGGGGAGCGTTTGGGGTGTGGGGAGAATGATTGTTGTTGTTAAAGTTGTTCTTAGTGGCCGCTGTGGCTATAGTGTGTGGTGTCTATTTGCATTTCATCCCCTGTTTTGCAGAAGCTCTGGCTGAGGCGCCGAGGCTGGCAAAGAGCTTTGAGCCTGGTGGAGGAAGCGGAGCGTTTCAAGCACATGTTCTTCAGGACTACATAGAGAGAGTTCTTTTCTATCAGGAGATGCCACCGTAAAGGGGCATCCAAATCCTTTCAAAGCCAAGACCTCAGTTCTGACACAGAAGCGCCTCACCTCCCTCTGATCCCCAGCCGGAGACTCTTCTTGCTTCAAGGCAGAGCATGCGTTGACCCGGCATGCTTCAGTCTTGTGATTTTGTTCTTTGCAGCAGATGCTGTGGTTAGGGGCCGGGTCGGCGTCTGCAAGACTACGATTGAAGGGAAGAACTTGAGCAATGCCAGGCAGTTCCTTCAAGAGCGAAGGCAAAAGTCACCCGGTGCAGGCGCACAGGACCATCATGCCAGCAAAATGGTTGACCTTCAGCTTTGCGCAAGGCGCCAAAAAGAGTGCATCACCTGGCCGACCTGCTACCGAAGTGCTAGTGACCTAGTGCGATGGAGCCTTTTACAAGCAGTGTTGCGAAAAGTGTACGCAAGTGAAGGAAGAAGCTGCGGGAGCGACAGCGAGAGCACCTGGCTACCTGCTCAGTACGAGACGTGCCTTGCGTGCACGTTTGCCTACTTCCAGCATTTTCCAGCGAAGGTGCTTCAAAATCTGGAGCGCCTTGAGGACAAACATACAGCATGACCCCCAGCAATTCAGCTTGGTTCTGCCTCGGCGGCGTATCCACTTCGAAGGCATCGCGTGCTGTGCAAGCCTTGGAAGAGGCACTCGAAGCATCTTGTCTCTGCAGCATGCTTGACGCAACGGTGTGAGATTTGCAGTTCTGATCCTTGTTCAGATGTCCCATGCTGCCGTAGGTGATTGGAACTTCTACCTCAGCCGAAGAGTTGAAGCGATTCCTCCGGCTTGGTTTCGACAGCAAGAGACCGCTGGCTGCTCGCTGAGCTGCTGAAGTGATGAAGTCACTTCGCCTTGCAGAGACTTGCTCCTGAGGTTGCAACCAAAGCTCGGCAAGAGCAGTTGCTTCTGCTCCGCTCCATAGCCATTTTCCCAGCTTTGTCAGCTTTCTCTCCGGGGTAAAAGTGCTTCCGTCGTTACCCATCCTGCAATGCGTGATTGCAGCACTGAATGTTGATCACAGTTTCTGGCAAGGTTCGTCAATTTCACTCGCTTGGTGGCGACGACACTTCTGCTGCGACAGTTGTGCTGAAGGAGCAGAGCGTGGTGGTTGATCATAACAAGTCCATGGGTCTGTGAAGCTGCATAACTGCTGTCAACTACCGTGTTCTCTCTTTGTGGATTAGCATCTTGCAGCATTGCCGCACAAGATTGTCTTCCTCATCCCTTTCATGCTTGGAGGATCGGGTGATGCCAGAGCCTATGAGTAGCGTGTTTCCTGCTTGGTCGAGTCCGTCTGCTGACTTGTGGTTTGCAGATTTTGGGTCAAGTTAGTCAGCTACTCAGTGTCAGTCAAACCAGAAACGGCTCGTGCCTTGACTTTGCAGTTGTACTGCGGATCGAATCTAAGTTTTCAAGTTTGACACCTTCTTGATGTGTTTCATGGCAGCGCTGCCGTGAGCATGCCTCTGCTTTCATACTTTGCTGCCGCTGGGCTTTACGCAGGCCGGTCCCAGTTTCAAGAAACCCTTTCATGCCCAAGCCGCAGGTCCTGGGAACTGCATCCTGTAGGCTGCTCCTATACCGCTTCGGTTCTTGTAGCTGAACTGGCTTCCGGTTCGAAGAATACACGGAGTGTCAGGCTAGGGCACCAAAAGACCATTTAGAAGGTTTTGGAAACGTGACCAAAGCCCTGAGGCAGACGCCCATGGCTATGTGATGCTCAAAGGGGCTCTTCTTTCCATTCTGGTCTTTCTTTTTGGTAGGTCTTGAACATACATTTGGCCGTGCGACACTTGGGCTTCTCTTGCAGGGCTGTCGGGATGTACCCGGCTACTTAAATTCTGGGCTCTCTTTTTTGGGAGTGGCCTGGGTAGCCGAAGCCCGTTTTGGGAACGCATTTGGGCATTGTATGCTCTTGGGCTGCTTTAGAGTGCTTTTCCGGCGAACTTGCCATGACCCTAGGCTACAGTAACAATGTCTGCTTAGAACAGGAAGCACGTCCTTCCAAACTGTGCATCGTGCTCTGCAGGTGGAGTCTTTCTGCTTGCCTTGCTTGGCCTGCACCTCGGCAAGCATTGAATGGACATGGCCGCATGGGAATATCCCGTAGGGCCGTAGGTTGCAGCATTCAATTGCTCATGCATCATGGCTCGATCCATGTGCAGCTTGCAATCCACGGCTTTTGAGGCTGCTATACAGCACTTTCTTCCGCAAGAGAGTGCACGAGATCACAGGTGCCAGCCGCAGGGTAACTCCCTTTGACGCATCACAGTAAGCGTTTCAGAGTCTGTTAGAGTAGCACAAGAACGTGGCAGGAGTTGTCAAGAGCGTGACAGATCTGGAGTCCAGAGCATGGTTTCTTTGTGGAAACATGTAACAAGATGCAGGAACAGACAACATCATAAATTGCATCCTTGAGGAGCTGCTACAGCAAGCAGGTGCTAGCAGCTTCAAACGGCCAACGGCCATGCAACCCCCCACACTCCCCTGCTACAGCAAGAGCATTTGTCATTCAGACAGCCACGGCAAATGAGATTAGCAACCTACAAGTGCATTCGCTTCGAGGCCTCTGCTGCGCTATCACTGGAGCATCAGATGGCTTGGGTGTGTACATAGCCCACGCGCTTGCCAAAGAGAAGGTGGGGTTTTCAACCTTGAGCTAATTCTCGAAGTAAGTGTGAGCAGGTGAGCAAGCTAGTCCTTGGAGCTCGAAGAGAGGAGAGGTTGGAGGCAGTCAAGGCGGGATGCCTACAGCAGAGGGGCAGAGGTGAGTAATCCGCGAAATGATTCAGCATGAAGGTCCTTCAAATCAGTGCCATTTCTCAGGCAGATCTGCGGAAGCGCTTCCCGGATGTCGAGGCGAGTACCTCGTTCATTTCGCAATTGCGCAAGCCAGTGCTCTACCAACAATATTTTCCAGCACTTCGCAAGGTTTTGACGGTCAAGCTGGACATCACAGCAGCTTGCGCATGATATGGAGCATGCAACTGCTTGTGCCAGCTGGTGCTCGTAGGTCGGGAAGCATCCGCGGTTGCCAAGCTGAGGACGGCGAGAGCCGGAAAGAGTTCGTCCGGCGAGCTACAGCCTTCGGACCTTGCCAGGTTCTGGTAAACAATGCCGGTGTTGACAGGTGTTTTGGTTGCAAGATGTCACGGGTGTGACGTTGACATGTTCAAATTTGCGGCAGAAATCCGTCTACGTCAGGAATGCATTCTTTGACACCATGGCTGATGAGGATGCACTTTGGCCGCGGTAATTTGTTGAACACACGGGTTGACCACGTTGCGGTGCTCCGCTGCTGGCAAGAAGTGGGCATGCGCGACAGCAGTCTGGGCGAGATCTAAGATGGACGCGATGTTTCAGACCAACCTTGTGGGCACAATCCATTTGACGAAGATTTTTCTTCAAGAGATGTTGAAGGCCACGCAGCTTGTGCAAGCAGGCGGAACATGTAGCAGTGATGCAGCACACCCTAGCTTTGCAGGCCGGCCGAGGTCATGTGGTCAATATTTCTTCCATCTCAGCCAAAGATGCTCGGCCGCAGCGTTTACGAGCCTTGGAGGAGGGCCATCACAGCGCAGTGTTTATTTGGATGTGCCTGTCCCAGTTCGCCGTGCCGTTTGGCAGCATCTACGGGGCTTCCAAGGTGTCCAGCTGCTGGAGAGCTAGAGCTGCGTGAGTGTCTGTGCTGCGACCAGCAGTGACCCGTGTGCGCCAGGCGGCTTTGTCAAGTTTTAGTTCATCGCTTCGGCTCGAGATGATCCTCGAGAAGTGTCTTGACTGAGGTCACTTCTGCTGTAGCCTTTGCTAGTGACTGCTAGTGAGTCAGCATGTGCGAATGTGGCATGCGCACTAGCGGACAAGGAAGCCTGTAACGTTCCACTGTGTCTCCCCTGGATTGGTCGTGGATGCGGGAATGGCCCTCTCCTCAACTTTACGGAGACAAGCCTGAGGCTAGGCAACTTGACCAGGGATTTGAGTCAGTTTCTT